ACCCATCCCTTTTAATGGGAATAATGGGCCTCACCACAGCAGCTCCAGGGGCCCATCCCTGCTCCTGAGCATGGGTTTCTCCCCCTGCACAGCTCCTGGGCCAGCTGGAGAACACAGGACCCCCCCCAGCAGACAAGGAGAAGATCTCGTCGCTCCCAACGGTGCCGGTGACGCAGGAACAAGTCGGTGGGTGCCTCCATCCCCCATCCAGGGGCACGTGGGTGCTGCTCTTGGACATCCTGAGCTCCCCCCAATTTCCATTTGGTACCCCTGGAACTGGGCTGGAGGCTCTCAGCTCCCCAGCTTTGCTGCTGCCGGCTCTGGGCTTCGGTTCTCCCAGGAATGTTGGAGCTCCAGCATTCTCCAGAGTGTGTGGGGAGTCCTAAAATGTGCCATGCTGACTCTTCCCATCCCCAGGATGGTTTTTGTCCCCTCCCCATGATGATTTTCCCCTCCCCATGATGGCTTTCCTATCCTGTAATGGGGTTTTTCCCCCTCCCCATGATTGTTTTCTCCTCTCATGACGATTTTTCCCCTCCCAATGATTATTACCCCCTCCCCATGATGGTTTTTTTCCCATCTCCATGATAATTTCCCCCTCCCATCATGATTTCCCTCTCCCTATGATGTTTTTTTTCTCCCTCCCCATGATTGTTTTCCCTTCCCCACAATGATTTCCCCCTCCCCATGATGATTTTTTGTCCCCTCCCCATTATGATTTTCCCCTCTCATAATGATTTTCCCCTCCCCATGATGATTTCCCCCTCCCCATGATGATTTTTGTCCCCTCCCATGATTGTTTTCCCCTCCCATAATGATTTTCCCATCCCCATGATGATTTTTGTTCCCTCCCCATGATGATTTTCCACTCTCATAATGATTTTCCCCTCCCCATGATGGTTTTTTCCCCTCCCCATGATGGTTTTCCTATCCCACAATGATTTTCCCCTCCCCCACAATGATTTTTCCTGCCCCATGATGGTTTTTTTTTCCCCTCCCCATGATGATTTCCCCATCCCCATGATGTTTTTTTCTCTTCCCCATGATGATTTCCCCCTCCCCACGATGATTTCTCCATCCCCATGATGGTTTTTTTCCCTTCCCCATGATTGTTTTCCCCCTCCCCATGATTGTTTTCCCTTCTTATAATGATTTTCCCATCCCAAATCCCTGTTTGTGCTCTCAATCCCTTCTTCCCTTTCAAACTCCACACACTCTGCTCTGGGCATGCCATGGAAATCTGCCAGCAGGGACCTGGGGGATATCTCAGCACATTCATTTTTTTGAAATTAAAATTCCATAAATTTTTCACCCCAGCAGGGACCTGAAGGATATCTCAGCACGATCATTTTTTTGCAATAAAAAAATCCCATTATTTTTTCACCCCATCAGGACCTGGGGGATATCTCAGCACAATCCTGGATTTGCAATAAAAAATCCCATGAATTCTTCACCCCAGCAGGGGCCTGGGGGATATTCAGCACAATCCTTTTTTTGCAATTAAAATTCCATAAATTTTTCACCCCAGCAGGGACCTGAAGGATATCTCAGCACAATCCTTTTTTTGCAATTAAAATTCCATAAATTTTTCACCCCAGCAGCGACCTGAAGGATATCTCAGCAAAATCCTGGATTTGCAATAAAAAATCCCAGGAATTTTTCACCCCAAGGATCCCTCCCAGAACCCAACTCCTCCATTATGGTTAAAGCAGACGTTTCTACCCGGGATATTTTTATCCTGTGGTTTTCCACACCCCTTCTCTCATCCTCTTTTCTGGAATTCCACGTGGCTGAGCCCACAGAGCTGGGCAGAAATTGTGAAATTTTGGAATGTCCAAAAATCCCTGGGATCAGCAAAGGAGCTCAGGAATTCCTTGTTCTCTGCATTGTCCAGCCCCAGGGGATTTTGTGGATGGATGATGGATGGATGATGGATGGATGAATGGATGGATGGAGGGATGGATGGATGGATGGATGATGGATGGATGATGGATGGATGGATGATGGATGGATGATGGATGGATGGATGATGGATGGATGATGGATGGATGGATGGATGGAGGGAGGGATGGATGGATGGATGATGGATGGATGATGGATGGATGGATGATGGATGGATGGATGGATGATGGATGGATGGATGGATGATGGATGATGGATGGATGATGGATGGATGATGGATGGATGGATGGATGGATGGATGATGGATGGATGGATGGATGATGGATGGATGGATGGATGATGGATGGATGATGGATGGATGGATGGATGGATGGATGATGGATGGATGGATGGATGATGGATGATGGATGGATGATGGATGGATGAATGGATGGATGGAGGGATGGATGGATGGATGGATGATGGATGGATGATGGATGGATGGATGATGGATGGATGATGGATGGATGGATGATGGATGGATGGATGATGGATGATGGATGGATGATGGATGGATGGATGATGGATGGATGATGGATGGATGGATGATGGATGGATGGATGGATGGATGGATGATGGATGATGGATGGATGATGGATGGATGGATGATGGATGGATGATGGATGGATGGATGGATGGATGATGGATGGATGATGGATGGATGGATGGATGGATGGATGATGGATGGATGGATGATGGATGGAATCCATGGATGGATGGATGGATGATGGATGGATGGATGGATGATGGATGGATGGATGATGGATGGATGATGGATGGATGGATGGATGGATGGATGGATGGATGATGGATGGATGATGGATGGATGATGGATGATGGATGGATGATGGATGGATGGATGGATGGATGATGGATGGATGATGGATGGATGGATGGATGGATGGATGATGGATGGATGGATGGATGGATGGATGGATGATGGATGGATGGGATGATGGATGGAATCCATGGATGGATGGATGGATGGATGGATGGAATCCATGGATGGATGGATGATGGATGGATGATGGATGGATGGATGGATGGATGATGGATGGATGGAATCCATGGATGGATGGATGGATGGATGGATGGATGGATGGATAGATGGATGGATGATGGATGGATGATGGATGGATGGAATCCATGGATGGATGGATGGATGGATGATGGATGGATGATGGATGGATGGATGGATGGATGATGGATGGATGATGGATGGATGGATGGATGGATGGATGGATGGAATCCATGGATGATGGGTGGATGATGGATGGATGGATGGACAGACAGACAGGACAGATGGATGGATGGATGATCCCCGGCATGAATTCCCTGATTCCCCGCAGGAATTCCTCGCTCCCTGCTCCATCTCCACCCCACCCAACCCCCGTTACCCCCCACCCTCCATTCCCCCTGGGCTCCCTGTGCCCCCTGCCCTCCCTCACTGCTGCCCCCCGTTCCCTGCCGCAGACACGGGGCTGGAGTGCCCGGTGTGCAAGGAGGATTACACCGTGGCCGAGCAGGTGCGGCAGCTCCCCTGCAACCACGTCTTCCACAGCAGCTGCATCGTGCCCTGGCTCGAGCTGGTAAGTCCCAAAAAAACCCACTTTCATCATGGTTCTATCTTTTTTTTGTTACAAAGTTTAGAGATGGAATTTTAAGTTTGGATTCAAATATTATTCTTATCTCTATTGCATATATTCAGTATACTACATATATTCAGTATATCGCGTATATTGTATGTTGAGTTCTGCAGTAGCTACAAAATAAACCAAACCCGAATTTTCTCTCTAAGGTCTTTTAAGGATAAACTGCCCAATTAAGAATTGACATTTAAATTTATTTTTTTTTTTAACCTAATAACGAATCACCCCAATCCTGCAATGCGGACTTTTCTAACTAATTATTTCTCACTAATTGTTATGTCTAACTACTCAAACTTATGAAGAAGAAGGTGAAAAGCTTCCTAAAGCTAAACTCAACTAAACTAAACTAACTATCGTAAAAATTCTATTTTGCCTTATAAATATTACTGCATTCTAAAACCTCAAACCTTCGACTTTTTATATTATTTCTTACTAATGATTATTTCTAACTGCTCGAACTCATGAAGAAGAAAGTGAAAAACTTCCTAAAACTAAACTCAACTAACTGTCTTACAATTTCTGTTTAGCCTTATAAATATTGCTGCATTCTAAAACCTTAAACTCAAATTTTTCTGCCCTGTGATGTTCTACACCTCTATTCAAACCACACACTGGCGAAAACAATTTTGGAATATCAAAAAATTTTGGAATTTTTTCCACACTTTCAGGTCAAATATAACATTTTCTTGTGGCTTTCATTTTTGGAATATTTTCAGCACAGAAAGTTTGAAATTCTCAGCATTTAGGACAAACCCTCTGTGTTCCCCACAGCACGACACATGTCCGGTGTGCAGGAAGAGCCTAAAGGGAGAATTAAATAATTATATAATTATATAATTCTACACAAACTCATGAAGAAGAAAGTGAAAAAATTCCTAAAATTAAACTCAACTAACTGTCCTACAATTTCTATTTTGCCTTATAAATATTGCTGCATTTAAAACCTTAAATTCAAATTTTCTGCCCTGTGTCTTCAATTCAAACCAAACATTGATGATCCCACTGTTACCAAAAAAATGTGGAATTTTTTCCACACGTTTTTGGAATTTTTTCAGCACAGAAAGTTTGAATTTCTCAGCATTTAGGAGATTTGAAATTCTCAGCATTTAGGGTAAAACCCTCTGTGTTCCCCACAGCACGACACGCGTCCGGTGTGCAGGAAGAGCCTCAAGGGGGAATTAAATAATTATATAATACTAAAACTCATGAAGAAGAAAGTGAAAAACCTCCTAAAACTAAACTAAATTAAGTGTCCTAAAACTTCTATTTTGCCTTATAAACATTGCTGCATTTTAAAACCCTTAAACTCAAATTTTTCTACCCTGTGACTTCTATTCAAACCCGCACTGGTGATCTTCAGTGTTATCAAAAAAATGGCATTTTTTCCACATTTTCAGGTCAAATATAACATTTTCTTGTGGTTTTCAGCACAGAAAGTTTGAATTTTTCAGCATTTAGGGTAAAACCCTCTGTGTTCCCCACAGCACGACACGTGTCCGGTGTGCAGGAAGAGCCTCAAGGGGGAATTAGATAATTATACAATTATATAATACTCCTCAAACTCATGAAGAAGAAAGTGAAAAACCTCCTAAAAATAAACTAAATTAAGTGTCCTAAAACTTCTATTTTGCCTTACAAATATTGCTGCATTTTAAAATATTAAATTCAAATTTTCTCCCCCCAGCACGACACGTGTCCGGTGTGCAGGAAGAGCCTCAAGAGGAAATTATATAATTATATAATTATTTAGTGCTATCAAACTCATGAAGAAGAAGGTGAAAAACCTCCTAAAAATAAACTAAATTAAGTGTCCAAAACTTCTATTTTGCCTTATAAATATTGCTGCATTTTAAAATATTAAATTCAAATTTTTCCCCCCAGCACGACACGTGTCCGGTGTGCAGGAAGAGCCCCAAAGGGGAATCAGATAATTATACAATTATATAATACTGCTCAAAATCATGAAGAAGAAAGTGAAAAACTTCCAAAAAACTAAACTCAACTAGCTGTCCTACAATTTCTATTTTGCCTTATAAAATTGCTGCATTTTAAAACCTTAAATTCAGATTTTTTCCCCCCCCCCCCAGCACGACACGTGTCCGGTGTGCAGGAAGAGCCTTAGGGGGAAATTAGATAATTATATAATACTAAAACTCATGAAGAAGAAAGTGAAAAACCTCCTAAAAATAAACTAAAATTAAGCGTCCTAAAACTTCTATTTTGCCTTACAAATATTGCTGCATTTTAAAATATTAAATTCAAATTTTCTCCCCCCCAGCACGACACGTGTCCGGTGTGCAGGAAGAGCCTCAAGGGGGAATTAAATAATTATATAATACTAAAACTCATGAAGAAGAAAGTGAAAAACCTCCTAAAAATAAACTAAATTAAGTGTCCTAAAACTTCTATTTTGCCTTATAAACATTGCTGCATTTTAAAACCTTAAACTCAAATTTTTCTACCCTGTGACTTCTATTCAAACCCGCACTGGTGATCTTCAGTGTTATCAAAAAAATTGGCATTTTTTCCACATTTTCAGGTCAAATATAACATTTTCTTGTGGTTTTCAGCACAGAAAGTTTGAATTTTTCAGCATTTAGGGGTAAAAACCCTCTGTGTTCCCCACAGCACGACACGTGTCCAGTGTGCAGGAAGAGCCTCAAGGGGGAATTAGATAATTATACAATTATATAATACTCCTCAAACTCATGAAGAAGAAGGTGAAAAACCTCCTAAAAATAAACTAAATTAAGCGTCCTAAAACTTCTATTTTGCCTTACAAATATTGCTGCATTTTAAAATATTAAATTCAAATTTTCTCCCCCCCAGCACGACACGTGTCCGGTGTGCAGGAAGAGCCTCAAGGGCGAAGATTCCAGCAGGCAAATCCCAAACGCCGGCGCCTCCGACAGCCCAGTGCAGGAGAGATGGACATTCTGACCCTCCTGGCAAAGGTTCTGCAGCGTTCCAGAAGGTTCCAGGGCCGTCCCAGCTCGAGGGGTGCGTTGAGAATTCCACCAGACCCCCCCCAGTAGCAGGAATTAGGGGGCCCCACCCTGTGGGATCGCAGCACCGAGCGCTCTCCTCCCAGGAATTTTTCCTTCTGCTCCACGGAATTGCCTCGTTAGCCCTAAGTTGGGAAGGTTTTTGGGAGTGTTTTGGGTTCATTTTTTTTGTATCAGAAAAGGTTTTTTTTTTTTTTTTTTTTTTTTGTTTCCAGTAGGGGCCCGATCCGAAGAGGGGTTGCATCCCTCGTAGCCTTCTCTGGAAAAAGGTTGGGATCGAAAAAGGGGATTTTTGGGATCTTCCTGCACTCCAGGAGGTTGGAGTTGGAGCCACGAGAGATTTTATTGCCCCAGTTTGGGATGGGATCCTCGGGGGTCTGTGAAATCATGGCAGGTGGAAGGAGGAAGGTTCTGGAAGCCTCAGGAGCCCAGGAATGCTCTGAGCAGGGTTTTGGTCTCATCCTGGACAATTTTTGGGGTTTTTTTCTGACCCTTTTCCACGTGGCCCCAGGCGTGTCCAAAGCTCCCCGTGCCCCCCACGAGTCATTCCAGGCAGGAATTATGGAATTATGGACCATTCCCTTGGCAACCCCCACCCTCCCCATAACTTAAGGAAACTCTTGATTTTTCCTCATTGTTTTGAGAGTTTGGTTTGGGTTTTTTTGGTTTTTTTCCATTTCCTGTGATTTTTCCAGGTCTGAATCCTGGGATTTTTCCTCGTGGTATCCACAGGCAGCCCTGGGGGGGACATTGTGACCCCATCCCTCGTGTCAGGGGGGGAAAAGTTCCCAAACCCCTTGGGCTCGGTGGCTCCACGGCCACGGGGATTTAATTCCTGATTTTCTTTGCTCTTCCGTCCAATAAAGGCCTTTCTCAAAGAATTCCCTTTCTCAATTAATGAATTCCCTTTCTCAATTAATGAATTCCCTTCTCAAAGAATTCCCTTTCCCAATGAATAAATTCCCATTCCCAATGAATTCCCTTTCTCAATTAATGAATTCCCTTTCTCATTGAATTGCCTTTCTCAAGGAATTAATTCCCTTTCCCAAATAATTCCATTGCCAATCAATTCCCTTTCTCAATAAATCCCCATTCCCAGTGAATTCCCTTTCCCAAAGAATTCCCTTTCTCATTGAATCCCCTTTCCCAATAAATCCCCATTCCCAAATAATCCCCATTCCCAAATAATCCCCTTTCCAATGAATTCCCAACTCATCCTTGGAGCTGGGAAAGGGAGGAAGGAGCTTGGGGTGAGTGAGGGCAGAAACCAGCTCATAAAAAGCTTTTTTTGGGAAGGAAAACCCTGATTTGCTGAATTTGTCCCCAGAGGAGGAGATCCAAACACCTCCTGCTGTTGGGGACACTTTGTGGGACACAGGGACACCCCAGTCCTGAGGCAGGAGGGGATTTTTTGGGGAAATCCAGCTGGATTTATAAATTTATCCCAGTGCTTTTCTCTCATATCCAGCCCCCCTGATAATGGAGATTTCTGGGAGGAATTCCTGCTCCCACTTCTTCCCTTTTCCACATGCTGCTGGAAATGAGGAATTCCAAGATTCCTGATCCTCAAAATCCTGGATTTGAGCCTGGATTTGAGTGGGGGGCTGGGATTTGGGTCTCCCCCTCCCCTCTGTGTCAGATTTGGGACAATTCCAGGTTTTTTCCCCCCTGGATGAAGGAGAATTCCTGCTCCCAGTTCCACAGGCCGGAGCTTTATTGCTGGAGCTGCTCCATCCATCCCATCCCATCCATTCCCACTTTTCCCTGTCCCACATTTCCCCTGCTCCATCCCCGGGGCTGCTCCCGGTCCCTGCACCGGCCCCAAACCCCGGGATGGGACCCACGGGGACATTGCTGGGTGTCCTGGTGCCACCAGCGGCGCTGTCACCTCGCTCAGGGCTCTTCATCCTCGTCCTGCTCCTCCTCCTCCTCCTCCTGGGAGGGCTTCGGGTGGGAGAAGAATCCCAGCTGGGGAGAGGGATGGGAATGGGAATGGGAATGGGAGTGGGAATGGGAATGGGGACCCATCCCTCACCCTGGGGGTGACATCGTGACCCTCCCAAGGTGACATCGTGACCACCCCAGGGTGACATCATGGCCCCCCACCCCACCCAGGTGGCATCGGAACCCTCCCCCAGGGTGACATCATGGCCCTCCCAAGGTGACATTGACATTGCCACCCTCCCCCAGGGTGACATCGTGACCCTCCCAAGGTGACATTGACATTGCCACCCTCCCCCAGGGTGACATCATGGCCCTCCCAAGGTGACATTGACATTGCCACCCTCCCCCAGGGTGACATCATGGCCCTCCCAAGGTGACATTGACATTGTCACCCTTCCAAGGTGACATCACGGGCCCCCACCCTGCCCAGGTGGCATCAGAACCCTCCCCAAGGTGACACCATGCCCCCACCTCAGTGTCACCCCAAGGGGCCACTGTGCCCTCCCTCAGTGTCACCCTCTGTGTCCCCTCAGTGTCACCCCAAGGTGCCAAAGTGCCACCCCTCGGTGCCACCATGTCCCCTCCCATTGATGCCCCCTCCAGGTGCCACCGTGCCCCCCGTCAGTGTCACCCTTCGATGCCACCTCAAGGTGCCACCATGCTCCCCCCTTGATGTCACCCCTCAGTGCCACTGTGCCTCCTCCCTACCTCAATGTCACCTCAAGGTGCCACTGTGCCCCTCTCCTTGACGTCACCCCTTGGTGCCACTGTGTGCCCTCCCGTGGTGTCACCCCTCAGTGCCCCTGCTCTGTGCCACCATGCCTCTCCCTCGGTGTCACCCCAAGGTGCCACTGTGCCCCTTCCCCTCTGTGCCACCGTGTCCCCTGTCAGTGCCACCGTGTCCCCTCCCATCGGCGTCACCGCTTGGTGCCACCCTTTGTGTGACCCCTCGGTGCCACCGTGCCCCCCTCGGTGCCACCCCCCGGTGTCCCCCCCGGTGTCCCCGGTGTCCCCTCACCCTCCAGAGGCCGAGGCTGAGCAGGGCCAGCAGCAGGAGCCCCCCCAGGGCGCTGCCCCCCAAAATCCACAGGGACACCGGGGGCCGCCGCGCCCGCAGCACCTCCAGCACCAGCTGGGACCAGAGATTGGGGGGAAAAATGGGAAATTTGGGGGGATTTGGGGGAGAAATGGGGGATTTGGGGTGAAAAAATGGGAATTTAGGGGGGAAAAATGGGGAATTTAGGGGGGGAAATGGGGATTTGGGGGGAAAGACAGGATTGAGGTGGAGAAATGGAATTTGGGGGGAAATGGGGATTTGGGGGGAAATGGGGAATTTGGGGGGAAATGGGGATTTAGGGGGGAAATGGGGAATTTGGGGGGAAATGGGGAATTTAGGGGGGAAATGGGGATTTGGGGTGAAAAAATGGGAATTTAGGGGGGAAAAATGGGAATTTAGGGGGGGAAATGGGGATTTAGGGGGAAATGGGGAATGTGGGGGGAAATGGGGATTTGGGGGGAAATGGGGATTTGGGGGGAAAGACAGGATTGAGGTGGAGAAATGGAATTTGGGGGGAAATGGGGATTTGGGGGGCGAAATGGGGATTTGGGGGGAAATGGGGAATTTGGGGGGAAATGGGGAATTTAGGGGGAAATGGGGAATTTTGGGGGGAAATGGGAATTTAGGGGGAAATGGGGAATTTTGGGGGGAAATGGGAATTTAGGGGGGGAAATGGGAATTTAGGGGGGAAATGGGATTGGGGGGGGGGAAATGGGGATTTGGGGATAAAATGGGAATTTGGAATTGGGGGGAATTTGGGGAAAATGGGGGTTTGGGGGGGGGGAATGGGAAATTGTGGGGGGCAAACGGAGTTGGGAGGGAAAATGGGGAATTTGGGGAGAAAAATGTGAATTTGGGGGGAAAACGGGGATTTGGGGGGAAAAATAAATAGGGAATTTGGGGGGAAGAACAGGATTGGGGTGAGAAATGGGGAATTTGGGGGGAAAGGGGGAATTTGGGGGGAAAAAGGGAAATTTAGGGGGGAAAATGGGGGATCTGAGGGAAAATATGGGGATGGGGGAAAGGGAATTTGGGGGAGAAAACCAGGATTGAGAGGTGGGAAAAAAGGAGTTTGGGGAGGGGAAAATGGGGAATTTGGGGGGAAAAATGGGAATTTAGGGGGAAAGACAGGATTGAGGTGGGGAAATGGAATTTGGGGGGCAAATGGGGAATTTTGGGGGTCCCACCTCCCTGCGCTGCGCCCCCTCCTCCAGCACAAAGAGCCCCCCCTCAACCCCCAGCCAGACACTGCTGATGATCCTCAGGCTCCTGAATTTCACCTGGGGTGGGAAAGGGAATCACAAACATCTTAGAATTCAATAAAATAATAGTAAAATTCAATAAAATAATAGTAAAATTCAATAAAATAATAGTAAAATTTAAAAAATAACAGTAAAATTAAATAAAATAATAATAGAGTTAAATATAACAATAACAAAATTAAATCCAATAATAATAAAGTTAAATAAAACAAATTAAATAAAATAATAGTAAAGTTAAGTAGAGTTAAATGTAATAGTAGTAAACTTAACTACAATAATAACATGAAATAAAATAATGATAAAATTCAATAAAATAATAAAATTAAGTACAATAATAACATTAAATAAACTAATAACAAAATTAAATAAAATAATAAATTTAAATACGATAATAACATGAAATAAAGTAATAATAAAATTAAATAAAACAATGATAGAATTAAATACAATAATAACAACATTAAATAAATTAATAAGATAAAACAATAAAATAAACTAATAATAAAATTCAGTAAAATAATAATAAAATACAATAACATAATAAAATTAAATAAAACTAAAACCAAAAATTTAAATACAATAATTAAATTAAATAAAAATTAAATAATGGAATTCAATAAAACAACAAAATGCAATATAATAGAAGTAAATAAAATTATAAAATTCATTTTTTAAAATCATATTTTTTAAATTATCATTCTTATAAAAATCTAAAAATAAACCCAATTCTTTTTCCTTATTGTAAATTTTTTTTTTTTTTAATTTAATCTATTTAATAGAATTTATTCAGGGGCTCCCCCATTCCCCGCGCTCACCCCGCTGAAGGCGCCCTCGTGCAGCCGCAGCCGGAGCTCGATGGAGGCGCCCCCGCCCCGCCCCAGCCCGGCCAGGCCGCAGCTCAGCCCCCGGCAGCGGCTGCTGGAGCAGTCCTGGGGGGCAGAGACAGTGGGGAGCCCCCCGAAACACCCGGGGTGCGGTGAAGATCCCGCCTGAACCCCCCAAAATATCCTGGGAGTGGTGGGGATCCCGCCTGAACCCCCAAAATATCCTGGGAGTGGTGGGGATCCCGCCTGAACCCCCAAAATATCCTGGGAGTGGTGGGGATCCCGCCTGAACCCCTCAAAATACCCCGGGGTGGGGTGAAGATCCCCTTGAACCCCC